CTTTATTTAAAGAGAACATGATCTAATATGTAGACAATTCTAAAGAACACAAAGAGACAGACATACACACACATACCTACTAGAATAAATGAGCTTAGCAAGATCACAGAATATAAGACCAATATACAAAAATCTATTGTTTTGAAATTAATTCCATTTGTAATAGCTCTAGATAGAATAAAATACTCAGCAATAAATTTAACAAAAGAAACATAAGACTTGTACCTTGAAGAGCATAAAACATTTCTAAGAAAAATTTAAAAATCTGAATTAATGCAGAAATTTACAGATTCAAAGACAATATTGTTGATATGGCAACTCACCCCAAATTGAGATTCATTATAGGTCACTTTGGAAATAATTAATCCCCATCAAAAATCCCAGCAGGCAATTTTTTTTTGCCAAAAAAAAAAAAAAAAGACAAGCTAATAAACTGACCCTAAATCTTACATCAAAATGCAAAGCATCCCAAAACCCCAAATAACCAAATCATCTTGAAATATGGAGGATTTTCATTTCTCAATATCAGAACTTACTATAAAGCTATGGTAATTAAGATTGTGTGGCAATGGATAAGGAATAACATAAATCAATCGAGCAGATATGAGTGTAAAAATAAATATTCTTAAAGTTGATTTTCAACAAAGATGACAAGACAATTCAAAGAAGGAAAGAAAAGTTTTTTTTTTTTCAGCAGATGGTGCTGAGATGATTAAAAAGTTGAATCCAGATGTTTATACCCCACAAAAGCATTAACTAAAAACGGGTTATAGACCTAGTTTAAAACCTAGAACTAAAAAAGTTTTAGAAGAAAAAAATGGTAAAATCTTCATAACCTTTGGTCAGACAAATATTTCTTAGATATGAAGCCAAAAGCATAATCCATAAAAGAAAAATATTGATGAATTGCATTTCATCAAAATTAAAAATGTATGTGCTTCAAAAGACAAGATTAAGAAAGTGAAAGAAGCCACAAACTGGGAGAAATTATATTAAATAATATATCCAATAAAGAACTTTTATATGAAAGTTTTATGAAAAAATAAGTTTATATGAAAAATTCTTCAAGTTGAAAAGAGTATTCAATTATAAAATGGGCAAAAGATTTTAATGGAGGTTTCACCAGAGAATATATGTGAATGGTCAAAAACCACACAAAAATATACTCAACATCATTAGTCATTTGAGAAATGCAAGTTAAGATTGGGATGAAATACCACTGCACACACACACACACTGAAATAGTTATAGTAAAAAAAAAAATTCAAGCTGGGTGTGGTGGTGAGCACCTGTAATCCAGTCACTTGGAAGGTTCAGGCAGGGGGATGGCAAGTTTGAAGCCAGCCTCTGCAACTTAAAAAGATCCTGTTTTGAAATAAAAACTAAAAAGGATTGCGGGTGTGGCTCAGTGGTAAAGTGTCCTGAGGTCCAACCCCAGTACTGTAGCAAAGGGGGAAGACTAACAAGTGAGGGAGAGGATTTGGAGAAACTGGAACTCTTACCATTGCTGGTGGGAACATAAATGGTGCAGCTACTTTAGAAAGAGTTGGATAGTTTTCTTACGAAACTTAAGCATGAATATACCATGTGACTCAAATTCCATTTCAAGGAAACTATTCAATAGAAATGAAAACATACATTTATACAGAAATTTGTATGTCAATGTTCACAGCAGTTTTATTTGAAATATCCCTGAACTGAAAACAAAGTCCATCAACTGTTGAAATGGATAAAAGAAATGTGGTTTATTCATGCAGTAGAATACTATTGAACAATAAGAACAAAATACTGCTATAATATATGAACCACAAAAACATTATGGTGGAGAGAAGCCAAATATAAAAAGCCACTTATCATATGAATCCATTTACATGAAACGTCCAGTAAATTTCTATAGTAGTTCAGTGGCTGCCTGGGTTTGGGCGTGGGAATAGTGAGACTGAAAATGAGCCCTAGAGATCTTTTGGGGGTGATGGGAACACTGTAAAAGTGATTTGTGGCAATGATTACACAACTCTTTAAACTTAGTAAAAATCATTAAATTGTACCCTTGAAATGGGTGAATTTTATAATATGTAAAATAGTTCTTAATAACACTGATAATGATTAAAGAAGTTTACATGTAGTGGCATATTTTCCTCAAAAAATGATAGAATTCTTTAAGGACAGATATATCTTCTGGCTCAGACCTAATGCTTCAGAAGGAAGGCAGACATGTGCTCACAGTCAGCCTGCACTGAACACGAGGCACTCTGTGCATACTATGGCCTTTCATGCTCCTAAACCTCTGACATGGGTAGTGGTATTCCTATTTAAAGATGAGGATATGGAAGCTCTATTAAGGTCACAGGGGCACGGCATGGGAAGCCTGTCTCCAACACATCTAACCTGTCCTGTGGTACTGATAGCCTTAAAGACCTAAACATTACTGGTCTGGCCCTGGAATCAGTTGGTAGCTCTCAGAATCTCCTTAGTTCTGTGTGTTGCCTTGCTGAAGCCTTCCCTCTTTGAAAACAGGCTGACTTGGCTTTTGAAGTATGTGGGGAGTTGTAACATTATCCATGAAATGGTTTCTGTGGGAAAATGTGTTCTGTGTAAGGTAATGACAGTATCCCTGTTAGTCCCTTCCATGATAGCATCCATGGAATCCCTTTGGCATTCGGAGGGCAGGAGGCTAGAAGAGCTAAGAAGGGCAGGGATAAATAGCAGGGAGCCCCACTCTCTTCCTGTTTTTAAAGCTCAACTAGAAGTCCTTGTTTTTGATCTTGGTTATGTATATGTTGGACTAGAGCATATGACTCATTTTGAACACTGAATCTTGCTGTTGAAGCAAAAATCATGCAAACTACTGTTTTAAGAAAGCAGGTATTGAGTGGAATGTTGAACTGGTGACTTAAAACAAGTTTTCCTTTGGTCTTCATGTAATAATCCACAAGAGCAAACTCAACATTAGTCCTGAACACACTCCACATTCGTGCTGTCTTGACCCTGCTAACTTCTAAGACCTCTGTAGCCTAGAACTTTATTTCAGAATTTTCAGCCATGTCTTTATCCTGAAGAGACTGCTCAGATATAGAGGATTACAAAGATACATAGTATAGATATATTTTGTACTTTTTCATTGTTTCAGTTTGTATGAGGGAAACAAAAATTACATCATTTGTTAAAGGAGTGCTGTTTTCCTAAATATACTTTTTCTTCTCATCTTCTTAACATGACATTGAAAAATGTTTGGTTTTCTTTACATCCAGACCAGAAGAAATTACTAAATTATTTAAAAGTACTACAAGATCCTATTCTTTTCCTCATGTGGGGTTTTTATGGGAATATTAGTGAATTTGTATCCCTGAGATTTTGTCATCAAACCTGGCTTTGTGTACATAGCTTTGTTCACTGATGCTTGTTTATAAGTAGTAGTACTGACAAGTAATAGAGCTCGGGTCAGGAACCAGAAAGCCAGCATTTCCTTTCTGAGCTTCTTTCTTACCATGATCGTGAGTACTTAATAGTTCTGGTTCACAGGGGCAAGGATAATAGCCTTATTGACTCCACAGGCTTGTTTTAAATTTAAATGAAAAATGCTATATGAAGTTTTATGGGCCCAGTGTTGGTGTCCCCTAAATTCTTGTGTTAAATACTAACCTTTGATGTGATGGTATTAAGGAATGGGGCCTTTAGGAACTAGTTAGTTCATGAGGGTGGCACCCCATGAATAGAATGGATTAGTGCTCTTATAAGAAGAGACATGAGGGCTGGGGTTGTGGCTTAGTGGTAGAGCACTTGCCTAGCATGCATGAGGTACTGAGTTCAATCCCTGGCACCACATAAAAATAAAACAAATGAAATAAAGGTATTTTTAAAAAGGGCATATTAAAAAAGAGACATGAAAGAGATGATTTTTTTCCTCCATCATGTGAGATTATAGCAAGTGAGTGGCTGTCCCTAAGAAAGAAACTGGGCTCTCACCAGACATCAGCTCATCTGGTAGCTTGACCTTGAACTTTACAGCCTCGAGAGCTATGAGAAATAAATATTTGTTGTTTAAGTCACAGACAACCTGTAGTGTTTTTGTTATAGCAGCCTGAACTAAGGAGACTGTTTCAAACACCAAGAGCTATACAAATACACGTGGTCATGTCACCTAAAGTGAATAATGCTCTGCATTTTTAACATGAAAATGACATTTGTTATCTATGGACATTTTGACTTCTCGTTCAGTATGTTGAGATTGTTTCTTTGAAAAGAAGGAAAACCATAAAAGCTGTAGGACTTAACTTGAATTTTCTTTCTGTGTATAGTAGGATATAGAAAGATGAGCTAGAACAGATAATATAACCCATTTTTTAAGAAAAAATAGAATATTGGATTATCATTCTTGTATATTTTATTGTTCACTACCATGCTATTACTGTCCAGTATAAACTTGGCATTTGTGTTTTGAGTCCACTGAATTTGAATTTCTTTATTAATTAAAAACAGGTGATTACAAAGGAGAATGTAGAAACAGTATTGATTTATATTTGTTTTTTTCTTATTCATGTTTATGAATTAATTAGTAGTAACAGGAAAGCATTGATCTCTGACACATATTTTAAGTGTGTATACTGCACATTCTATGTCCTTTATGGTATTAAACCAGACATTACAAAGGTAAGTGTAAAAACAATACAGCTATATCTTTTTTCCCCTAAAAGAAGTCTTATGATGTTTACATAGTTCAAAATATTTACATATTTTTCATTTTAAAAAATCCTTGAGTTCACACCTAGTACAACTGAGCTGCACTTGATTCATTGATATTTGAAATATAGCACTTCCTTTTCTCTCATTTTATGTTGTTAAAGAGGAAATGGGTTTTTAGTATACATGATTCAGGTGGGAAAAATTGAATTTTTAACTCCAAACTATTCCTCAGACTAGAAAAAAATTCTCTTTTGGAGTAGTCATGTTTATTTTATAGCAATTCTATAGCAGAACAATTTAGTATGTTAATGCAGAAATACAAACAGCTTTATCAAACAAAATGCTATTTTCTAGCTGCCTTACAGAAATTATTTACTCAAGAAAATAGAACAAAATTTCTTAGCTCCAATACTCAGCTTTGTAAATATTTTGCCAGAGCTTTTTTTCTTGGGGTTGGGGAGCAAATAAAAAAGTTTAAAAGCTCATATATGTCTATTTTGTTTTAGTTTGGTGTATTTATTAAGAGTAAATTCTGTATGTCTTTGCAGTTCATCAATATGTGTATTTAGAAGCTTTTCAAGTTCTTTTGCTCGCTTCTCTTCTTCCATAAGGAAATGCTGTGCAGCCAAAGAAGCAGGGAAGGAGATATCTGGGGGAGACTAAGGAGAGAAAGAAAGAAAAGTGAGATGAGGAATACAGAGCCTTTTAAAATCTTCATTTTTCTAGGCATGCTCCATTTCTGACATGTTGTCAAATGCTGCAGCAGGTGATGAAATAATACATGTTGGGCTAAAATCCTACCAGTGTAACAAAGTCATCATTCACGAATCCTCATGGAACTAAGACACACATCACAGTACCATTACCTTAAAAGCTTTAGAAATGTTATAGTGGCCAATTGCAAATGCAGGGGCAATGTAATCACCAGGGAACTGCTTAAAACTTGTTCTACTCATTTATAAAAGCCAGTGATTCCCATCTGAAAATAGGCAACTCCAAAAACCTGAAGATTATAACAGAACCGGATAAAGGTTTATGGAGAAAAATAAAAAGGATTAGTATAACACAGGAGCCAACTGATACTTGGGATGTCCGGCTGCATGGCATATCTCAGGGGTAAGAGTGGTCCCATGTTAGGGAGGGCCATAGTGCTGAAATGCATCTTATCTGTTCTATTACAGCTGAGATGCCCCAATTCCATGTTTCTTATTAATGTGGAAATGCTATTTAGGTGTTTGTGATTTGTTTAGTGCTTATTTACATAAAAGAGAAAAAAATCTGTTTATTGAATAAAGGACAATATTAGATACTTTTACAATCCTTCATTATTAAAAAAAAAGTTGGAGAAATTTGAACTTTAATTTTCCAATCCTGTGGTTCCTTCACTGGTCTTAGTTTTTATTTTATTAGGAAGAATGAGATATTATGAAAGTGTTTGAAGAGTCAACAATCTGTATGGAGTTGAACCTTTTATAAGGGGATTTAGTTTATCAATCTGGTCCCTGCAAAACTAGGACCTTTGCAGATGGTAGTGGAGTCCTAAAAAATTATCCAAGTGGCTGTCACAATTATAACTGCTAGTACTTTACTAGAGCAGCACATCACAGCCTTGGGTACAAGGCTGCTGTTGATCTGGCAAATGAATTCTTTCTAATATCAAATTTAAAGGAGGCTCAGAAGCAATCAGCATTTGCATGGGATAGACAACAGTATACATCCATGGCCTTTGCCCAAACTATGTTAATGATGTTGTCACAGTAAATTCTGAAGGGACCTGGACCATCTGGACCATTCCAAAGACTATCACATATAACATATGATATTAACACTAACATCATATGGATGAGACCTAATAAGCAAGAAGTGGCAAGTTTGTCAAAGACATGTATACTCCAGATGGTGAAAGATAAATCCAATAAAAAACATTGTTTTGAGGTGTCTAGCAGTATGGGGGACATGTCAGGACATTTAAGTAAAGTACAAGTGAATCCATCGTGAAAATGCTCTACTTTCGGGTGGAATAATCTGACCCATTTATTGAGTGACACAGACGGCCGGTTCTTGTTTTTTGAGCACTCCTAGAACAAGAAAGAGCTCAACAATAGTTTCAACATAGAGTACAGAAATTCTGCTACTTGTGTCTTGGCAGTTCCCATAATAGAAAAAAAAAAATCTCTAGTAGAAAAAATGCCATATGGTGTCTGGTAAGTTTCAGTGGAAAAGTTGTTCCTGCCATGCTATTAAGTTGTGAATGAGACAGAGCACTAGCAAGTGGACAGGATGGCTTGATCTTATTTTGTCCTTGGCCACACCAATGAAAATCATTTATGGGTCCAACAGCAAGGTTTCCCTTTCATCAAGGGTCACCTAACTTCTGTTGCTGTTGAACATCTGAATCTGCTCATAGTAGAAAATGCAGCTGAGCTCCTGAGATGCAGTACTCTTTAAGGGGACCAACCTGCCTCTTGGTGGCAACTTGATCACATCAAGTCCCTTACACCTTGGAAAGAGCAATGTTTTATCCTTACCAAAAATAATGTGCATTCTATGAGTCTGCCTTTTGCCTTTGCCAGCACCACTATCTGAGGGCTCGTAGACTGATGGATATGCTGACGTTGAGTCCTGCTTAGTGGTAAAGGAACCCACTGTGCAGAAAACTGATGATCTTCAAATCCTAAATAAACTCACTGGATATTAAAATAATGAAGTAGTTATAGTTAGCAGCTTATTCCTTTTCCCCCCTATTGCTGGACCAGATACAAGATTTCTTTAAGTCATTAAAGATCAAAGTTTTTGCACAAGGCCCTGGGTTTAATCCCTAGCACCACACACACACACATACATAAATACACACACACACACACACACACACACACAAAAGATCAAAGTTTTTGTTGGTATAGATATTACAAAGTTTCCTTAGAGATTCCCATAACAAGTAAGGAAGTTTGTTTAGTTTATTAGTATGAAAGTCTATTCTGTTTTAAAAGTTGACATTTTATGTTTTTATGAACACAATATGATGAGGCTTTAGAAATCTCTAAATCTTCAAAAGTTAATAGTTTAAAGCCTTCTCTTTCTACTATAATTGCTTAACTCTCACTTCCAGTCTCTACCAATATGAGGTGACATATTCCCCCCAAAATAGAAAAATACTCATGGCCCACCCTATTCAATTTAAATATTTTCTGTTGTATATTAATTTTTTTGTAATTTGTATGCTATATTAGGATATCATGGAGAGAACTAAACATTTACATAATATACTTTGAATACAAAGGAAGGTGATTGCTAAAAGTACTATTATTTCAGTACTTTATGTACATATATTAAAAAAAAGTATAAAAATTTCAGTGGAGAATTGTAAACTATAAAAAAGTATCAAATAAAAATTCAAGAACCACAAAAAATGTTAAAACTAAAATTAAGAACACTTCTCTCCCACTTGCTTTATGAGGTCAGCATAATATGACACTCGAACCTGATCAGGACAACAAAGGAAATTACAGGTCAATCTGTCTTATGAACACCAAATAAAAATTCTAAACCAAATATTAAGAGACCAAATTTAGTGATTGAATTAGGTTTATTCCAAGAACACAAAGCTGGATTAATCTAAAATCAAGATAAAATATAATATAATAAAATATTATATTTTCATAGCAAAGGAGAAAAATTCTATGTTCATTTTTAACAGACATAGAAAAGGCATTTGATAAAATCTTGTATCGTGAAAAAGTTAGCAATACAGGAATAAAAGGGAATTTCCCTAATCGTTTAAAAGGGATCTACCACATATCTACAAGAAATGTCATACACAATGGTGAAATGTTGAGAGCTTTCTTCTTGTAATGAGGCACAGGTAAAGGATGTTGGTAATATCATTTCTCAATATTTACTGGAGATACAAGTCAGTACAATAAGGGAAGGAAAAGGAAAAAAAATGTATAAAACTGGCATTATTTTGAGTGAATATAGAAAATCCAAAAGAATTGACAGGACTGGAATAAGTGTTTAGGGTTAATTGAACATTTCCAAAAGAAAAAGAGGCTGAGAATTTCCTTTGCATCATACGCAAAAATTAATTACAGTTAGATTATTTATCTAAATTTGAAACATAAATAAAGTTTCTAAAAGATAACACTATTTTATAACCTTCTGACAGGTTTAAATAAGAATCTTCAGAAAATGAAAAATAAACTATCAAATATATTAACTACAAAGGACAAGATTCATAAATTTGAGTATATTAAAATTAGGACTTCTGCTCATCAAAATAGAAGAGGCATGTAAGAGTAGAAGAAGGTATTTGCAATATATATGACCAATAAAGGACTTATATTCAGAATATGTTTAAAAAATCCTACTAACCAACAAGAATAAAGATAATCCAAAAGAAAATTGGGCAAGGACATTTAACAGACATGCCACAAAGGAAGATATAAAAATCACCAGTAAATATATAACAAGATGCTCAACCTCATTTTTAGTAGAGAAATATTAATTAAAACAATCCAGTATTAACTATTGCACAGACCATAATGGTCCAAATACAAAAGACTAATAACTGCAAGTGTTTGAAAAGATATAGAACAAGGAAAGTTCTCATATACTACTTTATGAGGTATTCATTGGTTCAAATAGTAAACAGTCTGGCAATGTCTCCTATAGCTGACCATAACCATATCATATGATCTAATGATTCTAGATGCATCTTCAATAGAAACAACAGAAATGTGTACACATGTGCACCAAAAGGTATTGTTTTAGCAGCATTATTTGTAATAACCCCAAACTAGAAATAAATGCCCATCAAATGAATGCAGAATTAATTATAGCATCATTGTGTATTTATATACAATGACATTATATAGAAAAAACCTATAAACTAAAGTTATATAAAACAATATGGATAATGATTTTGAATCTCAGAAACAATGTTGAGCAAAAGAAGCCAGGCATAAGAATACAGCCCAGTGCCATGGCACATGACTGTAATCCCAGTGGCTCAGGAAGTTGAGGCAGGAGGACTGCAGGTTTGAAGCCAGCATCAGCAACTTAGTAAGGTGTAAGCAACCTAGTGAGACCCTGTCTCAAAATAAAATATAAAAACAGCTAGGGATGTGGCTCATTGGTTAAATGCCCTTGGATTCAATCCCGTGTGTGTGTGTGTGTGTGTGTGTGTGTGTATCATACAGTATGATACACTTTCCATAAAATTTAAAAATGGGCAAAACTGATGATGTAAAAGTCAGGATAGTGGTTATTTTGGAAGAGATACAGGTGGGGCTTCTGAAGTTAATAATACTCTGTATTACCTGGGAGAGTTATATCAATATGTTTCATTGCATGATTCAAGCTTCCCATTTATGATTGGTATATGTATTTGCAAGTGTGTCAGAGTCTGTAAAAATATGCTTTTAAAAAGGAACAAAAGATCACTTACAGTTCTTAAAATATACAGATCTTTGAGGACTCATAGAATACCAAGGATGAGTTCCAAACACTTGCATTTTAAAAGAGCGTCACCAGTAATTCTGTTCTACACTAGAGGTTAAAAACCACTGACTGAAATACTCAATGAAATATTATGGGTCTCTTTTCCTTCCATAGATAGGTATGGCTGAGTGACTCACAGACTCATCTTGGAGTCTATTCAAGAAGTGACATTTTTTAAACTATTACATACATTAGTATATGGGTATCAGTACAAAAGTAATCACCCCTTAAAGGAAAAAAAAAAATCCAGCAATCAGCAACTCACCAGTGGGAATACTTCATCATCACTAACCAAAGGACTTGCCATTTCTTTGGTTCGAAATGTCAAAGGTGGCATTGGAGGCGTGGTACTTCTATTTGGTTCATGATCTTGGCTAAGTCTACAAGAGAAAGAATAATTGTCCTTATTGCTACCAAGGGTACGTGTTTGTTTATATTGTCAAGGATTTTAATATTCTGATGTCCAGCTAGGGGAAAACATAGCAAAATGTTTAGGCTTATTAACTGGGTATTTCTTTGAAAACAATTTTTCTGAATAACAAAACAATTTCTACTTTACATAAAAGATTGTGATTGGGGTTAGGAGGATGGGAATCAGTGGTAGAGAGCTTGTCAAAAAAAGACTTAGAAGTACTAATAATCATGCAGAAAACCTAATAATTCCTAAAGACATAATTCCTAATTCTGCTATCCTTGTCACCTGAATTGCTCTACTCTCTGTGTTCTACTTTTGTATCGCTTGGTCATTTAAATAACTGAAGCTATTTGAGAGAAATCTCAAACAACAACTGCCATTGACATTTCTAAACAGACACACTTTTTTTATTCTCTGTTACTTTGACCTTGCTGGCTATCTTAGTAGAACTATATATATTTTTAATGTTAAAACAAGTCTTTGTATAATGATAACTCTAATCTCAATAGGGTTTAATAATTTATAGCATGTTTTCAATTTACATATTTCCTAAGCTCCTCCATTTACTAGTTTTGTGTTTTTGAGGAAATGGCTTTATCTTGCTGTGACTTTAATTTTATCACTTATAAGAAAGGGTTGCTATGAGAGTTAGATGATTAATATATGTAAAACATTTAGAACACAATGCCTGACACGTACTAAATGCTCAATAAAGATTGGATGCTTTTATTTTAAACACATTGGATCTTCAAAATAATCCTAACTAGTGAACATTATCCACAGAAGAGGAAAGTAAAATTAAAAACTATATTTTTTTATACAATCATTTATTTTAAAATCAGGTTAAATTGCTAGGAAGTGATGATTCTGAATCTTTGACTCATTTCCAGGTTCACCTGATATTAAACTCCACAATTTTGATAAAAAACATAGTATGAAATATATGGTTTATGCCAAAATACAGGTAGAAGATGAGACTGAAAAAATACTAATAGATTTTAAATTTTGGTCTGCTAACCAGATAAATGAGTAATAAAACAAAGAAACAAATCAGTTTACCCTAAAAATTTTATTTTAAGAGTCCCAACAATATGGGCTATTTAGGATTAAATTGCTCTATTCCATAATAATGTGGTTTACATTTAATCATCAAAGACCATGAAAATATAAAAATCTATCCAATTTGGAATTATTTATTTTTACTAACATCCAAATTTCCCACAGGTATTAAGCATTTTCAAAGCCTTCAAAGTTTAAAAAATCCACATTATATTTCTCTGTTCTTATCCAAAGACCAATTCTACCTAGGCTTGTTTCTTATTATGCAAACATTTTCAAAGCTATGCATACAAATAGCAATAAAAGTTAAGCGAGGCATCTGTAAATTAGTACATAAAAACAAATACAACACGTTTCCCATTTTTACTTATCTTGAAATAAATCTTTTCCCCCATTCTTCCAAACCATAATTACCATGGAAACAGAACAGCAAATTAACTGAAATAACATGGTTTATGATGTGCACAATAAGATGGAACATCTCACAATTCAAACAGAATGATAACAGTTGCATAGTACATCTGCATTTAATCTTAGGCCAGACCTTTTAATTTGAGTGGCTGCCATCTATACTTCAGAGCAGAGTGGAAAAAACAAGATAATCATAGAAGTGATTCAAGAAACCTATATACATATATCTGTATTCTCAATTATACAGAGATTTCAGGCAAAGTATTATTTGTTCTAAATTATCTAAATAATTATCTCAATTATCCATTTTGCTATGGATGTATAGATACAGTTTTATGATGTTAATTACTCAAATTTATATAGGAACATTCTTTTTATAGTAAGATCAATAAAATGTAGAGATTGAAAGGAAAGACTACATTATGAACTAAAGTGCTTCTGTTTTAAATCATCTTTATATCTGACAAGCTCTTCTAGAATATAGCTATTCAAATACTTCATAAAACCACCTTGCATAAAATGCTACATATATCAATTTAAAAGCTATCTTTAAAATAATTTAGAAGGCTTCTAATATCCCTTCACAAGCTGATCTGTTCAATTAGCTTTCCCATGGATCCTATTCCAAGGCCCCAGTCCAATTTTGATAGGACCCAGTTGCTGTGCTAGGGAGCAGAACTCTATCTACTGGAGTCTTGAGTCAGCTTTGCAGTTTTCTGTCCTCTACATGTACAGGCAACCCAGGCTCCAGTGCTTTCCGTTTAGAATATGGGATCATCTCCTAAGCATAAAACAAGATCCCATCACAAACTATGCCAGTGTTTTCCAGCCTCACATAAAACTCCACATGAGCTCCCGATTCTGTGAACTGTTCATTGTTGCCTGGCCTACAACCATTCAGCTGTGTTGATTCTTTTTTGAGCAATAGCATGGTATAAAATTTTCTCAACTTAGTTTTGGCTTCTAGGTGACTATTCACTCCTTGACAGGGAAACATGCAAGTGGTTATGACAAACCTATTGACTTTGTGGCTTTTTAGTATTAGAAACTTTTAATTTATTAGCTAGACTTGAAGCCATTTTAATGATTAATGTTTGTGATACTGAAATATTTCCAGTATATGATACAACTTTTAAAACCATAAATTCACTTTTAAGTATGTATCTCATAGATAGACAAGTTCCATTTATTATAAAATTGATTTATTAAGATTAGTTGAAAATTAATAGTTCTGGATACCACTATGCCAAATTTGCTTATAAGTCATTGAAACTTTAAAACTCTTTTAACTATTAAGGACAATACTCAGAACATCCTAACCAAATTCAACTAATTTGATAATTTTTTTAAAAAGTGCTGAGTAACTATCATATTAGAAAGTAAATGCTTTGGACTAGTGAGTGAACATTAAAAACATCACTTTGAAGAGAGTGAAAACCACCAAAGTTGGGTTAAGTGTGAATAAAAGATTACTTAATATACATTTTTTTTTTCAGTTAAAAGCAAGAATTTCCCTACACTAGACTTTAAATTTTTGTGGAGCATTATCTTCATAAACCTTTATCTAAAAGGTTTTTCTTTCCTAAAATAGTTAAATAAAAATAGTTCAATAGCATTAGCTATTGATATATAACCATGACTTGTATATTTTCTGATCAATTTATGCCTAACAAATATATATCTATAGCATTGACTACCTGACTTCACCAAGCTGTGTTTTGAGGAAAAGAATTATTTCATTTTTTACTTGCTAAAATTAATACAGAGGTTTCTGCTTTACAGTTCTCCACTGGTGAGTTCACAGTGTCCTTGCATCTCAACAACTCTTCCCCATACTGGGTTCTACATGTAATAATTTATTCAGAACATTTGAAATGCTGTTTCTTTTAAAAAGGAGGTCACTGGAGAACACTGAAATCAGATAAGGCATTAAAACAAATTTAATGAAACTTTCAACAAATGAAACTGGCAGGACACAAGGCTTTACAGCAGGAACAGTTGTCCAAACTGCTTATTAAGATAATCTCCTGCTGAGCATTTTACCTCTTATGTTACTTTCCCTGTCCCCTACTGTCTTGTTTTTGTTAGGCACTTTTAACACATTCTGTACTGTCTGACAAAGAGAAAGAAAGGGGTACTGAAACAAGAAAAATACTTTTTAGAAATAATAAAAGGCACAGTAACTGTCTTTTTTTCTAAATAACAACACCTGGACCCCTTATCTAAGGCTTTCAAAGTTATTTCCACAAGAAACTATAGGCAGCAGCGTGCTGCACCCAATGGGTGATCAGTACTAGACAGGTGACTGATGGTCACACAGGAAGACCCTTTATGGTATTTTTAGGGGCCTGTCTCTCTTACCTGGGAGTCATCATTTGACCTGCAGAGAACTAAAAGTAGGGTAGCACTTTGAAAAGTGTTTATTTAATATTAGAAAATATATTCTTGTACCCAAATCAAGATTAGGGCCTTTGGATGGGTTTTCAGATAATGCTGGGTAATACACATTAGTATGGTAATACACATGAGCAGTTCTCATCAGAGAAGTGGTCTATGGCTGTGGCCAGTGAGTGGCCTCTTCCATCCTCACTCTACTGCTTTTATACTGCTGCTGCCACCTTGCCACCACAGCACCCCACCACTGAGAACTCTTTTGGGATAGTGGTCAATCTTTATCACCAGAAGAGGGTTATTAATTTGGCACTTTTGAACAGTTTTATTTTATGTAGCAGACGAATGTCTTTCCTTCTAATACGTACATAGGGCTGGCATGGTGAAAAGAGAGAACTGTGCTACACCCATGACAATCTTGAACAGAATTGTTTTTTTAAAATGTCCCATTAACTTTTGAATTTATCTCCTGTAGATATGCTTAGTTAACAACATGAGCCGAGTACACCTATCCCCCACAGGTATATTTGAGGAAATAACAGATCCGGCTATTAGTTTATTCACCAAAACATACAGTTTAGGTCCTGTGTGTTGTTAGAGAAGCACTACTATTATTATAAATACAATTTTGTTAGTAATAATATCAGTAATAACAGCTAACAACTTTTCTTTATCTTAGCCCAAAGACCGAGAAGCAATAATGACTAAACACCTAAAATGAATTAAAGATAAATGTCAATGTTTTTAAACTTATGTCCTTATATAATGGAGCTGGCATACCTATCTTCATTTTTTTCCATTTTTATTTGGTTTTGATAGGAGTATCTTCCTGTTTCTTCATAGGTATTTTGATTAGACCATGCTGATTTTCCATTGATTTGAAGTTTTGCAAGATCACTTCGAAGCCTTTCATTCTCATATTCCAGTTTGTTAATGGATGTATGCCTTGAATATTCCCTGTTAGTGAAGTCCACACTCTAGAGAATGAAATAAACTATCATTGAATAATTTGGTCCTTATAAATGATGCATATTTTCTATGTTTGGACACATGTGCTTTAAGGGCCTTTCATGTGAGCCAAGTAATGCAGTTTTATTTTGCTCACTTCCTAAATGCTCCTCCTTCCTCTCCTCACAAGAAGCAGATACTCAGTGACAATAGCTGCTGAACACATTCACAATGAAAGCAGGGCACACAGTACTGTCTGTGCTTCAATAGTGACAAGGTTTACTCTGTGCATTATCATTCTCTACAACAAATTGGCCAGAGTTAAAACTTATGTGTTTATAGGTATACCTCCTAGTGTTGATAAATAATGGAAACAAAATATAAAATTCAACTTTAAAGGAATATTTTTTCTGATTAAAATAACTCACATCCTTATATAAAATATGGATGATATTAAGAATAAATGTTCCATACTACCACCACTCAGTGATAACTGGTAATATTATATCTTTCTGCCAATAGGAAATACATATACTCAACAAAAAAGTCAATATAATAATAATGTATGGATACTTATAAAATTATAATAATAATTACAAAATTATAATGTACAAAGAGCAATAAAGTTTTGGAGTTTTGGAGACTGTTTTTTCCCCATTGAAAATTATACATACTTTAAAAATAAGATTTTTAATGACTGCATCAAAGAGGTATAAATGAATTCATTTAATCATTTCTATTACAGAAGATTTAGTTTGCCTTCAAAATTATAAATAATACTCTTTGATTTTCTTATGCACGAATCTTGATATTTCTTTAGATAGATTCCAAGAGTGGGGATCACTAGGAAAAACTGTATGAATGTTTCTGAGGAACTTGATTAAGTAATATGATTTTTTCCCCTATAAATTGGAGAAACCCAAGTATCATAATTTCACACCAGTAATGTATTAGGGGCCTATTTTATCACACTAACAATAATTTAATATTACTAACTTTTAAAATGTGCTACCTTGATACATTAAATAGTAACTTATTAGTGAAGTTGGTTATATTTTCACACTTTTCTGGCAATATCCACTCCATCTTTAGTTGGTTGTCTATTTGTGTTCTTTGCTCAATTTTCCATTAGAGTGTTTATGTTTTTCTAATCTGAAATAATTTTCTAATATTAGGGATAATAATCCATTGTTTAATTGATGATTTTTAGTGTATGATGTGTTTTATCTAGAAAGTTTTTTCCATTGTTTAATTGGTGATTTTTAGTATATGATGTGTTTTATCTAGAAAGTTTTTTTTAAGTGAAATCTATTGTCTTTTTCCTTTGTGACTTCTTCACTTTTAAATTGCAATTTTCTTTTTATCATAAAAGCAATGGTACTATCTTCTATTTGTTTCATAATTTAATTCTTTAGTATACTTGTAATTAATTTGGTATGAGATTAAAAATAATAAATTATTCTAATTATTCAAACATCCATTTAATCATTAATGGATTATACTAAATCTATATAGAGTGGGGTCTGATTTAGGATCATTATATCCTGCTGATCCTACAGATGTGATTATGCCAGCACCACATCTGGTAGGGGATATTCAATTTTAATGCAACCTCAAAATAGAAAGTGAAGCATGTTTAAATCACAGAAATGCGTTTTAGAGTAAGAATAGAGATTTCTGAGGCTTTTAAGTTAAATACTATAAGAAAATTTCCTAGTGTCTAAACTTCTCAAAAAGTTTTAAGAGATAGTTTATATTTCAAAACAAAAACTCATAACATATTTTACATGAAGCTATGTCATCCTCCTTATCCTATGATTTGCATGTCCACGAGTAGCACAGCTGCTGATTAAATAATTGTTTTCTGATTTCAGAGGTAATATTTTTCCACAAAAAGCATAACTTAAGAAAGCATCTTTTTTGATATTTCAAAGTCTGTGGTTCAAAGTCTGTAAGACTATAAATGATTAGAGCTTACACCTTTCTTTTTGAAGTTCCTAAGTATAAAGTTTTGAGTGCTGTTCATATAGGCTGCCACCCTGTAAAATCATTCTAAATTTTCTAAATTTTTGACTAATTGCACATTGAAAATTATCCATATAATCTCATATTAATATCAAGGCTGATAAATATGTGTAGAAATACATACATAGTATATTATGTATTAAATATGTTTGCCTGTTTATCTTTTTATTCAAAGGCCAAGTCTGCTTACTACACTTTCTTTTACTGCCTATTGCATTTTGGAACTTTAGTAAATATGTAAGAAGATCTCATTATTGAATGGAAGAAGATGTTCCAGGAGAGCAAACTGTAAATTTTTTTATTAGTCTATTATATTTCTATATAATATTGTAGTTCATTTTGTCATAATCATACATGCCTGGAATATGATTTGCACCACTTCAGTCCCTAGTACTTCCCCTTTCCCACTCCTCTTCTCTCCCTTGAGCCTCTTCCTCTATTCCACTTGTCTTCCTTCTATTTATTTATAGTTTTTGAAAAAAAAATAGTGCTTTATATATAAATGAAGGTGAAATTCACTGTGGTATATTCACATATGTACACAGCATAATTTGGTCAATTTCATTCCATCCTTCTTCCCTTTTCCTTTTTGTCCCTCCTTCCTCTCCTTCTTAATCCATTCCACTGATCTCCCTTCTATTTCACAAAACAATCGTGGGTGGGTTACATGCTTCTTAATCTTCAAACAAGGTAGTCTTTGAGAAAAGAGGACCTTTCTGTTAGGTATTTCTGTTAGGCCTTTGCCTTTAGAATTTTTCAATATTTACTCTTTTGAGATAACAGTGTAGATAAAAGAACCATCTATAATCTTTTGCTTGGAACCAACCTAGATGCCCTTCAATAGACGAATGGATAAAAAAAAAATGTGGCATTTATACACAATGGAGTATTACTCTGCATTAAAAAATGACAAAATCATAGAATTTGCAGGGAAATGGATGGCATTAGAGCAGATTGTGCTAAGTGAAGCTAGCCAATCCCTAAAAAACAAATGCCAAATGTCTTCTTTGATATAAGGAGAGTAACTAAGAACAGAGTAGGGACGAAGAGCAGGAGAAGAAGATTAACATTAAACAGGGATGAGAGGTGGGAGGGAAAGGGAGAGAGAAGGGGAAATTGCATGGAAATGGAAGGAGACCCTCAGGGTTATACAAAAGTACTTACAAGAGGATGTGATGGGAAAGGGAAAAATAATACAAGGGGGAGAAATGAATGACAGTAGAGGGGGTAGAGAGAGAAGAGGGGAGGGGAGGGGAGGGGAGGGGGGATAGTAGAGGATAGGAAAGGCAGCAGAACACAACAGACACTAGTATGGCAATATGTAAATCAATGGATGTGTAACTGATGTAATTCTGCAATCTGTATACGGGGTAAAAATAGGAGTTCATAACCCACTTGAATCAAAGTGTGAAATATGATATATCAAGAAATTTGTAATGTTTTGAACAACCAACAATAAAAAATTAAAAAAAAAATAAAGGAAGAAGGACTGCTCATTTTAAAATTAGAGTAGATTTGCAGTAAACATAAAGAGGCAGAGTCTTATAAAATTTCATCCTCTAAGGGGAAAAATTCATAAAGGCAAATCTGATTGAAAAGGTAGACCACAAACTTATCTTTGGATGAGATTAAAAATATGACTCCAGATAAGACGTCTGTCAGTCAAAATATATAATTATTAATGGTTTGTTGCTCAATTGAAACTGTATTTAAGATTTTTCTATAAAATTAGATTATATCTATGACTATTTTGGGTTCAGTGTTGATTTAAAGCAATTAAGAATAATAGCAATAATTTTTAAATACCCTCCAATTTTCTAAATGTACCATAATTAGATAAATGTTATGAACATAATCTAAAAGAATCAAACAGGTAATGTACTTATGTTTTATATTTAAGAACATATTCCATTTTTCTTAACAAGGTTTTTTGAGCTCTCTTGTTTTGTGTTTTCCTTAATTTTTTCGTAATTTCAGAAATATATCCCCACTAGGTGGTTATCATTTGAAAACACACTTTAATTAAATTTCATCTGTATTTCTTTCTCCACCCTCCCCTCCAATCCCATTCTCCACCCCTGCTTTTTTGGTAGTACTGGGGATCTAACCCAGGACCTCATGCATGAAATACAACTGAGTCAAGTGTTCTCTCACTGAGCCCCACAGGGCTACCTATGTATTTCTGATGGGTTCTTTTATTTAGACCTATTATTCAATTCTCATTTTTTTAAAAAAATTTAGAGTTCTATAATTTTAATTCATTTCTTTGTTTTTAGAAGGGTTAAACGACCTGGTGCCTATCTATTGGGAAAGGTTAGAATGAGGCAATTGAATTATTGAAATGCCTGAATTTTAGCATTTTGCATGTACGTTTTTTCTTTTTAGTTATGTATATTTGTTCTGGTTTGGAAGTGAGGTGTCCCTCAAAGCTCATGTGTGAGATAACAAGAAAGTTCAGAGGAGAAATTATTGGGTTATGAGAGCCCTAACCCAAGCAGTGAATTAATCCCCTGATGGGATTCACTGAGTGGTGACTAAAGGCAGGTAAAGTGTGGCTTGAGGAGGTAGGTTATTGTTGTGACTCTGGGGTATATATTTTATATCTTTTAAGTAGAGTCTCTCTCTGCCTTCTGATCATCATGTGAGCTGCTTCCCTCCATATAATCTTCCACCATGACGTCCTGCCTCACCTTAAGCCCCAAGGAGGAATGGAGCCAGCTGTCGATGGACTGAGATCTCTGAAACTGAGAGCCCCTAAGTAAACTTTCCTCCTCTCTAGTTATTCTGGTCAGATCTTTTAGTCACAACAGCAAAATAACTGACTAAAACAGTATTCAACAATAATAATTAGGCTCACAAAATATTTCTACAGAAAGAAAGATTTTAGAGTACTTTATGGTTACCATGTTAGTTTACAGTATGTAAATGTATATTTAGTCATTAGGAGGGTGCTAATTTTTATGCTACTACTTTATTTAGCTAACTTATGGATACTGAAAAGCAA